GCGCGGACGTCCGACGGCGTCCCGGCACGGGTTCAGCCATGAGCCGGGCGCTCTGGAGGCTCCTCCTCGCCTGCATGCTGGTAGCTCGGGTGAGAGGGACGCAGCAGTCCCAGGAGCCGTCCTCCCCTGCGGGGTTTCAGGAGTGCAAGAAGGCCCTAAAGCTCCCGAGCCTGGAAGTCCTGCCTGGCGGGGGTTGGGATAACCTCAGGAACTTGGACATGGGCAGAGTCATGAACCTGGGCTACACGCTGTGCAAGACCACGGAAGACGGGTCCTACATCATCCCGGATGAGGTCTTCACCATCCCTCGCAAGCAGAGCAACCTGGACATCAATTCAGAGATCATCGAGTCCTGGAAGGATTACCAAAGCGTCACGTCTGCCTCCATCAACATGGAGCTGTCCCTCTTCTCCTCTATCAACGGCAAGTTCTCCCACGACTTCCACCGGACCAAGACCCACCAAGTCAAGGACCAGGCGGTCACCACTCGAGTCCAGGTCAGGAACCTGGTCTACACTGCCAAAATCGACCCGGGAGCAGCCCTGGACAAGAGCTTCAAGAAGCAGCTGCTGACGATTGCCAGCCACCTGGAGAACAACCAGACGCGGATGGCCGACTTCCTGGCGGAGGTGCTGGTGCTCAACTACGGCACCCACGTCATCACCTCTGCGGATGCCGGCGCCACCTTGGTCCAGGAGGACCAGATCAAGGCGACCTTCCTGAAGGACAGCTGGGCCACGCGCAGCGCGGTTACCGCCGCGGCCGGCGCGGCCTTCCACGGCATCATCAATGCGAAAACCGAGGGGTCCGTGGACGTCAGCTCTGCCTTCACCAGGCAGTACCTGGAGAACCGCACCAACTCCCGGGTGGAGAGCATCGGCGGGACCCCCTTTTACCCGGGCATCACCCTCAAGACGTGGCAGGAGGGCACCAGCAACCAGCTGGTGGCCATCGACCGCTCGGGGCTGCCCCTGTACTTCTTCATCAGCCCCGGCGCCCTGCCGGAGCTGCCCCCGCCCACGGGGAGGAAGCTGGCCA